TAACAGTTATTAGTATGAGAGTTATTGGTAAGCTGCTAAATAGACAAGTGTGTGTGTGTGTGTGGTAAGTCAAGATATACATAACAGTTATTAGTATGAGAGTTATTGGTAAGCTGCAAAATAGACAAGTGTGTGTGTGTGTGGTAAGTCAAGATATACCTAACAGTTATTAGTATGAGAGTTATTGGTAAGCTGCTAAATAGACAGCTGTGTGTGTGTGTGTGTGTGTGTGGTAAGTCAAGATATACATAACAGTTATTAGTATGAGAGTTATTGGTAAGCTGCTAAATAGACAAGCTGTGTGTGTGTGTGGTAAGTCAAGATATACATAACAGTTATTAGTATGAGAGTTATTGGTAAGCTGCTAAATAGACAAGTGTGTGTGTGTGGTAAGTCAAGATATACATAACAGTTATTAGTATGAGAGTTATTGGTAAGGTGCTAATTATATAATTGTGTGTGTGTGGTGAGTCACGAGAGATATGTAACAGTTATTAGTATGAGAGTTATTGGTAAGCTGCTAAATAGAAAACTGTGTTTGTAGATAAAACATATTTAGAAGTTTTGGAATATACTTGTGTTTATTAATAGGAAAGTCCCTAGATAAATGTATGGAACTTCGAGAAACAATATCAAGCGGGAACAAGGAGAAGAAGCTTCAGAAGCAGAAAAAAAGGATGGAATATCAGATTTGTCAGGGTTACAACCATCCTAGGAAAAAGAAATCAGTTTTTGATTTCATAAACAACAAAATTGGAAGTCCCAGAGGTTTGTAGCTAATAGTGAATGGCCTATTGAGATCTTGTATTTTCATATGTTAATATATCCTATTTTACATTAAAGCTATCTACTCTGAATTTAGATATAGTTTTACTTATTTTGGAGTTCACACTTTCTAAATTAGTCATACATTATTATGTTTGTTTGTTGCAAGTGTTAACTGTATACGATTACTAGTCTTAGTCTTAGGTAATTTCCACAAGGAATGGGTATGTTTTAAAATTGTTCAAGAGAGTATTTTAAATAATTTTTATGTCTGGCTGTAGGCAGAGCTGTTATGGTTCTTCTGGAATGTTTAGTTGACAAAGAAAGATCAAGTTTCTATAAAATGAGTAGTGTAACATACAGTTCAAGTAAAACAGTTAAAGAAGAATTATTGTACTTCACCAGCAGACATTAGGCAAATATTTTACCTTTGAAGGAGCTTGATATATTGAAGTATAAAAATAAAATTTAGTTAGTTTTTATTTTGATTCTGTTTATTTTGTGGAATGTGTGTTTCTTACAAAATATACATTGATCTAGTAAAACAAAAAGTAACAATACAGAAGTTGAGTAAATTATTATAAACTAATTTTGAAGCCTTATCGTGTCACCACATCTAGTCATGCTCCGTCTAATGACTGTGCATCTTGACAATAGCCCTGTAACATAGTTACCATTGCAAAAGAACTCTATCTTAAGACTTTCATGCTCAAAGTACACCCCTCCTTTTATGCATGCTTTTCATAATCCATCTAATATACAAGGATGATGTTTTTTTTCAATACCAGTTTAAATAGTTCCATTGTACAGGAATGCACATGTATTGCACTTGGCAACTTGATAGATATATCTTTATGTGAAATAGCATGAATTACCATTTCATTCTCCAACTGCCTGAGGTATGTAATGGTTGAATAAATATGTTGTGGAAGCAACTTGTATGCATGTGACTTGTGTCACTTCTCCAGATAGAGATCCTTCTTGATTATGCTGCATACTCTTGCATGGGCACGTGAATGGCTTTGGCCATAAAACTCTTTGTTTTTGGTTTCTCACCTGTTACAAGGTGCTGCACTTTGTATACCATGACGGTGGTATAACATGTTTCTGGTCTCTTTGTAAATGGTCCTTATTCACTAAGATGATCTATATTATTTTGTTTTCCAATGTCAGTAAATATGTGGGAAATCCCCATTTTGAAATTGTTAGTCCCCAATCTGAACATACTTTATGATCTGAGTGCCTAATTATTTTGCATTGGATAGGGTTGTTTGTATGTCACTATGTGTAAAACACATTTTTGGTCCCACTAGTTAAACTCTGAGTAAAGTTTTTGTCTATTAGTATCTGTAGTAGTTTCACTTTTATTACTTCCTTGGCTCAGATTCAAACCCAAGACCTCTCACACATCAGGTAAGTACTCTACCAATTGAATGAAAGAGTTAATTCCAGTCCTTCAACATATCTACAGTACTTTATGTGTCACTGGTTTAAATCATAATTCAATTTTGTATGTTTGCCAGAAGCTACAACATGTTTTTTCAATTACTTTGATTTTTGATTAAAGTTTCTTTAATATGTCAGTATCTACAGTGCCTTTTGTCTCACTAGTTTCACACACTGATGAATACATAATATTTCAAGAGCAATATTGCACCATTGGTTTAAGAAAATAAATTTGTAGTAGTAATTCTATTAAAAAAAACCCTAAGAGATGAAAATTGTTTTTGATAAAATAGTTTCATTTACTTAATTTTATGCATAAAAAATTGTTAGACGGTAAAATTGTATTTTAGGTTGATTTTAGCATGTTTCAAATGACAAAATTAGGGGTTACGAATTAACTTAATTGTTTTCTGAGCATAATGAGGCACTTATAGGTCCCTGTGTGTAAAATCAAAATTGTTTTTAACAAAATATATTGCTAATTGGATCTTTTAACTTCAATTTAATTGATTTTAGCTGATCACTTTCTCGACCTTGGATGTCAGTAGGTTTTACAAGCCATAGGAAACTGATTTAAATATGTAATGAAAGCTCTTTTTTTTTCTATTCTTTCAACTATTTTATTTTTCTTGACAGGAATTTGCATAATTTTAAATGTTTTATCATTATATGTATTGTGATGAGTGAATTATATTTTGGTGAAATAAGAATGCTAAGAAAACATATAAAAAAGTAACAGAATTTAACAATATTTCTTGTTACATAAAAACATTCTGTGATGTTTTCTTAAACAGGAAACTTCAAAGTTCTTCAAAAAGAATCTACAAACTTGAAGTCTTCTTCTTCAAAAAGGCTAAATGTTGAGGTGAGCACAACATGTACATTACCAAGTGACTTAGTATAGAGTTACTTTTTAAATATATAACATTCTAGTGATTTTTAAATGTTTTTGGTTGATCCTCTGGATATGGGTAAAAGTGTGCATATTTCGAGCTATTTACAGAAGTACTTTCAAAATTTGAATAAACTACTTTATTATTAATGTATGTCATAAAAATTGGCATCAAAACTTAGTTAATCAATTGATTTTTAATGTTATATAAGTTTTAATTTTTTAACTTTAAAAGGAAATATTTAATTAAATTTCAGTCTTCACTTTTCTGTATCATGTGACACTTGTTTACAGTGAATTGTATAGTTTAGAACATCTTTCCATCCCTACTTGAACTTCTGAGTTTTAACACAGATTATGGACTTATAGCATAGATATTGCTGAGATATAATCTAAGTTCATTTCCTCCAGTTTTCTTGCTTTGCTGAGATATAAACCAGAAAGCCAAACCCACATGCCATGCTCTCCTGTCACATACTCTCTTTCAAAGAATATCAGTAACCTTCTCTGACATTTGCTAATAGCCAATAGAAATAGAAGTTTTGTTGATGGTGGAACATACTACATGTTTCAGCTGAAGAGAAGGTTTTATTTACTTATGCTTATAAATCCATGTTTGCCTACCTATCATTATATTAGTGTAATGTGCTTCCTTACTCAAGATAGAGAAGGTTTTATTTACTTATGCTTATAAATCCATGTTTGCCTACCTATCATTATATTAGTGTAATGTGCTTCCTTACTCAAGATAGAGGTTTTTAATTTACTTATGCTTATAAATCGCTGTTTGCCTACCTATTTTTATATTAGTATAATGTGCTTCCTTACTCAAGATAGAGTTCTAAATTGGATTCTTAAAATAAATAAAAATCCAATAATGTATTAACAACAACCTTAGCAAGAATTAGGATTAACTTTTATTGATTCTTTGAGTGTTCAACTGCAGAAAAGTATGACTCATACATAAGTACTAAATATTTGGGGTTATTATCTATATTTTTTGTTTATTGTTATAAAATAGTTAAAATGTATAAATTAGAATCTTGTTAGGTTAGGTATGAAAACATAAATGAAAGAAGTTAAATAAAAAATTTCTTCACAAGGTATGTTGGCTACAAGCTTGTGCATTACATAATTCACTCCCATAACTTGAACTGTGTTGCTGAGTGATTTATAATTTCTTATGCATAATTTACAATTAGAAACAGTTCAAAGACCAATAAAACATTAAGACATTCTGGATATATGTGAAATTTGTGGTGTGTTGATTTTTGTTTCTTGACATTTCTACTATGTATCAAGGTAGGAGTTTCTTAAAGGTTATATATGCTGTACTTGTTATGTTAATAGTTTTTATAGGTTTATATATATATATTATGTATCATTCTTTTTGTCAATTTCTTGTTTCAGTTAATTGTTTGATATATTTTAAAACTATTTGTTGAATATTTGTTTTGTGTGAATAGTTCCTAATATAACTAATGATAATTAAAAATTATTTTATCTTATATGGTTTCTTGATGATTTTTGAAGTATTATTTGTGTTCTAGATTTTTATTTGTTAATATACCTTTTGTGATGTTCAAAAGGCTATTGAAATTTAAGTTTGTCTTTATTAATATATATTTTAGTGTTTCAGGGAGCTCTTAACATTGATAGCATTATTAATTCATGAAATGTCATGGTGTTTAGTATCTCTTTGATTTAGTTATATTGTTGCAGTGTTTATTATTTCTATGATTTAGTTATATTGTTGTAGTGTTTTTTTTCTCTCTGATTTAGCTATATTGTTGCAGTGTTTATTCTCTTTCTGATTTAGCTATATTGTTGCAGTGTTTATTGTCTCTGATTTAGTTATATTGTTGCAGTGTTTATTATTTCTATGATTTAGTTATATTGTTGTAGTGTTTTCTCTCTGATTTAGCTATATTGTTGCAGTGTTTATTCTCTCTCTGATTTAGCTATATTGTTGCAGTGTTTATTGTCTCTGATTTAGCTATATTTTTGTAGTGTTTATTATCTCTGATTTAGTTGTATTGTTGCAGTGTTAATTATCTCTCTGATTTAGCTGTATTGTTGCAGTATTTATTATCTTTCTGATTTAGCTGTATTGTTGCAGTGTTTATTGTCTCTGATTTAGCTATATTGTTGTAGTGTTTATAATTTCTTTGATTTAGCTTTATTGTTGCAGTGTTTATTATTTCTCTGATTTAGTTATATTGTTGCAGTGTTTTTTCTCTCTCTGATTTAGCTACATTGTTGCAGTGTTTATTATTTCTCTGATTTAGTTATATTGTTGCAGTGTTTATTGTCTCTGATTTAGCTATATTGTTGCAGTGTTTATAATTTCTTTGATTTAGCTGTATTGTTGCAGTGTTTATTGTCTCTGATTTAGCTATATTGTTGCAGTGTTTATAATTTCTCT